TATTAGTCTGCGGGTAGATTTTCGCGAATGTTTATCCCCATTTACGGCTCCGCACAGTTTTGTTGCTTATAATTGCTTATAATGTTATGTGTGACGGGACTTATTCTATTGTTATCGAAAAAACAGGTAGACCGTAATGGATTGGAACCGCCCTCGCGCATTTGGGAAGGCCACAGTTTATTAGATAACTAGCGGCCCGCCCTCGCTTCGCTTCGGTGTAGAGCTGAAGTGTAGACTACAGTTTTTGTTTTCAGGCTTGTATTATACACAATGACATTCATCTATGATTCCTGTTATACCTGCATGCAAAGTCTCAGCCCGATCGGTTTAAAATTGACAAAGTTTCATACAAACTTTCATTCCCTATTTTATCCCCTTGGGGGTAGAGTTGAAAATCCTTTCTTAGCGGATGCCTACGTCATAACATCTACCTGCATGCCAAATTTCAGCCCGATCCGGCCAGTGGTTTGGGTTGTGCGTTGATAGATCACTATGTCAGTCAATCAACTTTGAGTTTTATATATATAGAAGATACTGGCTTTTGTTAGAGAGTATGATTTCAAGATTCTAAGTGGTAGGGATTAAGTTTAACCCGGCAAGGTGGAACTGGCTGGAGCAGACTTTTTGCCTTATCAGCTTTCTTGATGTTTATGACAAGTCCTATCTCAAGGATGGGACTTGTCATAAACATCAAGTAAGCTATGCTAGCTAAAAAATCTTTTATAGAAATCAGTGACTTGATTTAACGATATAAAACTACCTATACTTGATGTAATCTGTCGAGATATGTGATATTCTAAAGTCCGCGTTGTTTCATCTTTATATGTAGTTAAATTTCATTATAGTGAATGTTACCTCAATACATATCAAATGTGTAAAATTTTGACAAATGGTTATTTTTTTCTACTATTTCATCTGTAGTAACAACGCGGCCTTAGTCGCGGTCAAAATATAGTTTCTTATAAAGAAGTCAATGTATACGTAATAAAGCTCGCAGCTATATAAGGTAGTTACTTACTGCGTATTGTATTTCTTCCCTACGCAAACTCATTGGGCGTGACATAACAGCCACTATAAAATTAGGGTTTATCCCCGACCCGAAGTCGACCCGGAACGTCGCCCTGCCGAAGCAACAACTGTTACGAGTGTATTCACCGACGCCCCGCAACATTCATTTTGACCGGCGTCAAGGACAATTGTCGCTTAAGATTATTATTACAATGGTACACTAAGGGATTTAACGGAGTAACTTGACAGTTTTTTAAGATATAAATATTCAAAATAATGATTTGATAATGGATAATGTGAAACTCTATCAGATGTAGGTATTTAAAAGTTCTTATGTTCATCTTAAATACGTTAAGAAAAAACTCTGTAGCCTTTTCAAGCATATTTTTTCGCACCGAGAAGTTTGAGCTTTAGTCATAATTTTAATATGGAGAGGGAATGCTAATAGCTCATATTTTTACATAAAAATACATCAAAAATAGGAACAAGAATTAACAAAACAATAATACATACACTACCACATATCCGACACACAATTATTATAATAGTGACTTAACAGGTTGAAGTTCAGCCACTAAGCGACCAGAAATGTCATTGTCAAATATTGTATAGAAACTTGAACAGCAGCGCCACTACGGACGTAACGAGAACCAAAAATCAGTACATATTTGGCAATAAATTTCGCACTCGCAAACTATTCGAATTCGATATTGGTTCGTGCTAAGGGTACATACAGTACTAATACATATGATTGCGCATTTTAGACACGCAACACAACGTTCTAAAACTTATTCACTAAGGGGATCAATCAATTAGTAATTCTTAAATATGAATTCGTAAAAATGATTCAGGAAAAGAAAACTCCACGAAATCCATAACCTGATTGGGAGATACCTATTGAATATTGAATTCTGTATATAGAGCAACTCGTTACGAAACAGCTATTTAAAATTCCTGAATTGTACTCAGTGCAAAAACTAGTTCGTTGGACAAGAAGGTATACAAACTGAAGCATCCAGAATTTGAAGAACTTTTTTAAAACACTACGAGATAAGTCTACGAGTGTATAAAATTCTCGATACTTTTGACACAATGACAAATAAAATTATGTAGGTGTAAATATTTGAATTGAAAAATCGACCGGCCCAATGAAGTGTCTCTTACAGAACTTTTTTGGTATATATTAACCCGCCTATCTATTTATTTTTTTATTATTAATATTTGTTTCTTGTCATAAAAATGATTCCTGCACGCTTGGGCACTATATGATAGGTACTGTAATGTACTTATGTGTTCTTACAAACATTTTTGTAATGTATCGATTAACAATGCGGATACTTTTTTATGACTTGAAAACGCAATATACTCTAGTAAAAAAATATTAACATTAACTTACTCGACCATATTCTTTATGTTTGACGTAGATTTCAACATCGCTAAATTGCCTCAACTACGAAGAAAAAGAAAAATCCTTTTTGGCTAGGATTCGAACCTGGGCGCAAGAGGCGAGCTTTCTACCACCGACCCACTGATAAATAAATAAATAAATATTTCCAACACTCACACCAATTAGCCTAGCCCAAAGTAAGCACTGTAAAGCTTGTGTTATGGGATGCTAGGGTAACGGATAAAATACATATACAGTACATAATATTATAAGTATATTTATATAGAAATACATATTAAACATCCACAATCGGAGTACAAATGCTCGTGTTCATCAAACAAACATCTGCCCCCACCGGGCACCCGGTTTGAACCCGGGACCTCTCGAGTTGGCGACACCATGAACCACTCGGCCACGGAGGTCGTCAATGATGCCGGTTGATCAGGTCTAACTGTTTTAATATCAATTAAAAACGGAATGTGACATCCTAAAGATAAAAGCAAAAAAATGGTAGAGATGTAATAAAAGTTTCACTTTGATAAATCTAAAATAATGTTACGAATATTGTCTGACTTATCTTAAGTCTTTAAATGCAGTTCAAGTTTGAGATTTCTCGAAGGAGGCCGAACGAACAGTGTTGCGAGGCCTCTTGTTGCTTCGCGCCGGAGCTCTGCAGTGCGGGTGAGCTGTTTGAAATTCCAGGATTGCGCTGCGTACAATAAATTCCACTCTTGAGAGCCCCCGGCGCAGTAAATTTCGCGCTTATTTTCAACAAATTATTTTGGTTGAGCACTACGTTTTGCTTTGCAGCTAGTTTCCCCATAGTCTTGGCTGAGTGAAATAATTTCTGAACTCTTATTTTGGCATTTGCAATAAAATTTTGTAAGATTACAGAAAATATTTATGTCACTTAATTGATAGTTCGTTACTGTTGTTGACACATATGTAAGTCCATCAATGCCTAGTTGTGGAAAAAACATGTATTTTTAAATAATGTATTTGGCGGAAATTTATGTATTTGGCCGCTGAACCACGACAAATATGGTTTTTTATACAACTTTTCCGATCGCGGCCGCTACTCGCATGTATTTGCCCAGTACAGCAATTTCGATTTATCTCGACGAAAGCTGTCAAAATAATGCACAAATTTTCGAGCATGTTTGAGAAAATTTTATTCTCTTCCTACGTGTGCTACAATCAAGAATCAATGTCTTAACTCATTTCAGAATCAAGAAACGAAAAAAATCTTTTTTGCCGAAAATCAATTGAGTTATTGTATGTATCTTATATTTATATCGAACTTCATGCCAGTGTTGTTTTAAAATACCATACCTCTATCCCAAAATATTATTCCAATTTCGAATTAATAATTAGCAATAGCTACTTCAAATTTCTCTGTACGAACTTAGAACCACAGGAATGTTCACGAATTTTCGATTGCAAAATGTTTCGTAGCCGATGTTATACCTACAGGATGTTTCATAAAAAACACGGGCAGACGTCGCCGTTGTCCGTCCTCCTACAAACCGGGCAACTGTCAAAAAAACGTCCATCACAACAGTTATTTCCCTTTGCTACACAGATTTTTTTAGTAAGCAAGCTAGCACTGTGCGAAACGAATTCATATTTTCTTTTCATTTCACTGGACTCGACAAAGCGACGCTTATATGAATGTGAACATTCTAAAGGTTGGTCCTCGTATAAGTAAATATAATTTGTAACAGTGCGAATTGTGTTTATAAAATCATAAATAGAATTATTTTGCATTCTTATTTCAAATCACTGACTGACATACTACCATTTCAGTTTAAAAAGTTTTATATTCAAATGTGATAAAATTTTCGACCAAAATTATCCCTGTCCGTGAGCTACACTATAATTAGAGAGGCTCGTACTCGATCGGTTTTGTTACAACATAATCTCTCTATTACCTATTAACCTCAACAAAAACTAAATGTCAAAAATCGTAAAATGTCAATAACCACCTTAGTTGTTGTTGTTGATATCACTGACAAAAGGTTTGAGATCTAAATCAGTACCTATCAATTTCTGTAAGTAATCCTGAATATTATTTATTTGTAGATGCTTATAACATTGTTTAAAAACTCTTATTATTCTGCTATAACAATATTTGTTAATTCAATGTTTTATTTTTTTATTTAAACACACGAAGTATTTACACGAGCAGGATGATTACGGGTGAACTGAAGCTCAAGATTTTTCTTGGCTAGTTATTAATTATTACTTAATTATTTAAGGAAATATAACCTATATAACCTTTTCGTCATTCTGAAGGCATTTGTGAAATGAAAGATTCTGATGTCTGCGCGTATGATTCTACGAATGAAATAGGAATGTAGAATAAACATGAAAAACTGTATAGTAGTATATTGTGTGCCATGTCCTTTTAAAGGCAAAATAGCTAACGATCGGAATGTAAATTCGAAACAAAAACACTGTTTTAAATCACAGAACGCATTCATTGAATATTGCATTCAACAAACGTACGGGATAAGTCGCAGCGTGCATGACTTATCAAATTAATTGAAAAATAATTAACTTCGCCCGTTTTGTTCCGCGGCATCGGAATGGAATTAATGCTACGATGCATTTTGAGCGCATTGTGTCCTCTGTGGTGTGTTTTTTCTTAATCAAGTTTGGCTTTGTTCACTCGCAATACGAGACTCCAGAAGAGGTTGGCCTCAAAAGTAATAGTGCGTTTCGGTTTACTTATCTATTTTGGTTAAAATTTAATATTTCAATTTATTTATTACTAATCTTGCACACCTTACCGAGACCAACTTTAAGCTATGCTAATCCAGTTTAACACATCACTGTTTCCTTAGCAATTGTTTGATATATATCATTATGTATTAAGAGTTTTCTTGAAAGTAGACTAGTGTTCCGTTTATTTAATAAAGAATGTGAGCTAAAGAATTAAAAATTAATATAAATTTTCAATAGTAATATTTAACATTAAGAAAATTACACAATTAAGTCAACAATAGGGATGATGGCGGAATAAACTAAACTATATTTAGTCCGTCAGTTAGATTAAAAATTAATAATGTAACTACATTTATTTTTTCTTTTGTGAATCGACCAAAAAATTACAATTTAAAGCGCGTCTAAGTTTGGGAGTTTGGGTTATGACGTCACTTCAAAGTAAAAATTGTACCAAAACGTGACGTCATGCCACTTTTAGAACAAAATAGGTATCGCTGTGATGTTTTGATTATCTGAATGAATAAAAAATTACGTGTCCAACTTTCTGATGGTCTATCTAATAAATGAAGAAATAATAGTTAGCCATCATCCCTCCCTATTCAGAAGAGCTTTGAACTTTTACAAACTTACACAGATTGCCATCTCCAACTTCCAAGTATATTCTAATTAGTGACACGTTATGCATAATTGTACACACTGTAGGACTATGTCCAATTACTTGGTCTTATCATTAACAGCTGAGCTATATATAGGTAATGTAATTGAATTATGTAAATGGACAATTCAACATGACAACTCACAGTCCGTTAAACTAACTTAAAACTATATTTTTGATTTGTTTTTTCTGCGATATACACTGTGATTTTACCTGAGAAAATTTAGTAGCGAATTCAGATAATGACTTAAGATAATTAAGTAAAAAAATATTATTGCTCTCATTCTTTTATTTTCGAAAAAATATCTCAATGTTATCTTAATAATGCAAATATGAAACCTTAAAAATTGTAGATGTCATAAATTTATTCAATTAAAACTAATTTTGGGATCTAACAACTTTGAAGGGAAAAAATTCTATAAATATATATATGATCCGTAGTATGTTATTTACATATTTGCGCTGTGTATAGGATATTTTGTAAAGGACATAGTTCAAACATTTTTATATTGAATTTTTGTATGTAAAGTACGTTTACTGTTTATAACTGTTCTCACAATTTTATTTATACGATTTTTAAGTTTCTCAAGTAACTCAAAATTCATGGTATATAATTTATAAGAGATTTACAAATTCTTTATATTTTGGAGAGTTGTCTTGAGTTTTGTTGAGTTGAATGACAAATCATTTGTTAATACATAAGTGAACATACTTTTTACAATACTTTTATTTAACAATTGAAGCTACCATTGAACATTTCACCGATTCTACTGTTTGTTCACAATTAGTAATATATTACAAATGTTTAAAAATATAAATAAGGTTAATATTAATCTAAAAACACACTAACAAGACGCAAAATAAGTAAAAATAAAAAATACTAAAATCGTTGGCTGTTCGTGACAGCTACTGTTATTAAAATTTTGATTACCACAAATTTGTCTTATTTTTACTTCGAACTACTGTGTGTTATAGTAACTTTGACACAATTAATAGTATTTTATTTTCTCGTGCAATGAGGCCCTGAAGAAATTGAAGATATCATTGCACCGGTTGAAGATGAAGCACTTGGTGAAGGACATACGTTCGTGGCGTTGTTAGAGTGAGTGTTTTATTATGTATTTGCATAGTTGTTTTAAATAAAAAAAATACAGAAAATAACAAGGATACCTGATATCAAAATGAAGAAAATAGACTACTGCTCCCATGCATTGGTTGGATACATTTCAGAACTTTTTCAACGCGCGTAAAAACCGCCCTTGTGAACAAGCTCCCACGGATAATAGAGATGACTGATTTGGTATCTGTAATCTACGGTTAGTGATAGATATGAACACGGTAACCACAGAATTAAATCAATTTATGTGAATGCGAACTATCTTATATCTATGGGCAGTGTTCATACTAGTTCGTGTAGTCACGCAACTCCGTATAGTTAAAATTAAAATTCGTAAGTATGCGTACGTGATTCCGAGAATAAATACATCGTTGTCTAGAATTGTCATTTCTACTTCTTACGAAATCTTTAGGGTTAGTACAGCAGAGCTTTTCTTTAAAAGAAACTTTTATCCTCGGAAATCGAGATGTGATTTAAAATTAGAACACGAATTTCAAATAAATTTTAAATCACACCGACGAATTTGGCGATGAAAAGTGAGTTTGTTCTTACAGAAAAGCACAGCAGTCATAAGAATTGTTTGTTGTTCCATTTAAACGAGAAATAGACGCGAGCAATGAACCTGGGAAATTTCAATAGCAATTAAAATGATGATAGTATTCAAATTATTATTGTTATTAAATTTGAATTCACAGGATTAAAAAATACGAGCACATTTTAATCGATCCGGTTTCCTTGCTCTAAATTTCAATAATAGGTAATTTATCCCCATTGCGAATCCATGTAGTACAGTCAATCTGTCGAAAAAAATATCGTTTCAGTGAAAAAAGAACCTAAAGGTAAGTCTTGTTTTTTCTGTTGCCAAATGACGTCAGTAAGCCACCTTGGCGATGGGCATGTTCAACTCATAGGCGTTTTTTGAAAAACTCGAAAAAACCGTCAAAAATTTTTTGAAACGCATTTTTCTTGTTTTGTATGCATTTTAGAAACTTTTTTTTCGACCATAATTTTAGAGGGCGTTGAGTACTACAATTAATGTCATTGTTTCAATCTCGTACAATAAAAAATGCGCATTGTAGGTGGCGCTAAAGTCTCAAAAAAGTGTTTTTTCACTTTTTCATCCTGAAAATATCATTTTAATGGAAAACTTTAAATGGAAAAGTTGTTCCGTACATAATTACCAACAACTTTTGTATAAACATTTTTTTTTGTATTATTACCGTTTTCTAGTTATAAATTGCGCAGGTATGAAAAATCCAATAGAGCGGTTTTGGGCAGTTCAAGTTCACATTTGCAGTGAACATTTCAATGTACGTTTTACTATTTTTTATTTTTTTGCATGATTGAAAAACAAAAAAATATAGTAAATCATGAAAAAAAAATTAAAAAAACAATAGTTTTTTTTATTTTTTTTTTCATGATTGTAAAAAAAATAGTAAAAACGTACATTGAAATGTGCACTGCAAATGTGTACTTGAACTGCCCAAAACCGCCCTATTGGATTTTTCATACCTGCGCAATTTATAACTTGAAAACGGTAAGTAATACAAAAAAAAATGTTTATACAAAAGTTGTTGGTAATTATGTACGGAACAACTTTTCCATTTAAAGTTTTCCATTAAAATGATATTTTCAGGATGAAAAAGTGAAAAAACACTTTTTTGAGACTTTAGCGCCACCTACAATGCGCATTTTTTATTGTACGAGATTGAAACAATGACATTAATTGTAGTACTCAACGCCCTCTAAAATTATGGTCGAAAAAAAAGTTTCTAAAATGCATACAAAACAAGAAAAATGCGTTTCAAAAAATTTTTGACGGTTTTTTCGAGTTTTTCAAAAAACGCCTACGAGTTGAACATGCCCATCGCCAAGGTGGCTTACTGACGTCATTTAGCAACAGAAAAAACAAGACTTACCCTTTAGGTTTTTTTTTCACCACTCAACCTACAGATTGACTGTACTAATGCGCGTTTTACTTGAAGGTACAACATTACACTATCATTAGCATATATAATAACTTCTTCACATCTAACTTTTCTTACAACATCTTCAATTAATTTCACACGAGTATTTTTAAAATAAAGGTTCTTTAAAGTGTCAATTTATGTAGACATACCATATGTATATGTTTGAGAGAATATAGTTTTTTTTTTTTTTTAAGTTTTTGTGTCATCGCCTACCAAGACACCTGGTTGCATCTTCTCTAGACCTTCATAAAAGAGCCTTCTCGGCCATCTAAACTAAAATCCGAAATTCTGTTTTTTTTTTGTTGGCACATAAGCATCAGTAAGAGGGGCGCAAGAATGACTGGTAAACCCAATGGCCAATCTAAATTACAGGAAAACAATTATTACTCGTACATAATATGTTTTAAGCGTAATGCACCTACGAATGTTCCAGTAAAACATTGTTAATAATATAAATTCCTGTTAGTATTACACAACATAACATTTTAAATAACCTTTTCGTGGAAAATCCTTCCAAAATGTTTATTACGATTTCGTTTAAAAACAATTTGCTTTTCAAAAGAAAACAAATATTGTGCTGAGTTTTTTCAACGTTTTTCAGTTGCTGTCATTGTTAACGTAAATATTAAATTCAGTTCTCGGTTAAAAGGTTTCAAAAGGTTTAAATTGAAAATAGGCTACCCAGGTCCCACTCGCTGGGTGGGTACTCGACGCGTACGTAGGTCAAAGAATAAATCAAACGTCAAAAGCTTGTGTGACCTCATCCATCAACCGCTGCCTCCAAAAATTAGGTACTACGTATTACAAACAAATTTAGGACTGGAAACAGCTGTACGTGTAGGTAATAGAAGCCAGTTGTTGATAAATAAAATAAATGAATAAATATTTCCAACACTCACACAAATTAGCCTAGCCCCAAAGTAAGCACTGTTAGGCTTGTATTATGGGATACTAGGGTATTGGATAGAATACATATACTCTACATATATATGTATATTCATATAGAAATACATATAAAACATCCATGACTGGAGTGAAAATGCACGTATTCATCACACAAAAATCTGCCCCCATCGGGATTCGAACCCGCTCGAGTAGGCGACACCTTGAAACCCTGAGTACAGACCACTCGGCCGCAGAGATCGTCGTCGTCGTAATAATTGTGGATTTAGGTAATATGTATGTGTAAAAAGATAATTCTGGTAGTAATACCAGTTCTATCAAAAGGGCCTATGGTTAAACTTCCCTTCGAAGATATTAATGTCATTATTATTACCGGCCTTTTAATGTTTTATTTGTCGTCCTAGTGCAGAATGCAGTAAAAGCTACGAAATTTTGTGAAGTGGCTTGGAAAATAGTTTTTAAAGATTCCCACTGCCTTACCTAAATGAAATTGAGTAAATGTGCTATGCTCTACCTTTCTTAATTTAATAAAAGCTCTGTATTCTGTTTTTTTTTTATTTCAGTATTGTCTTTCAAGATGGATCAAAAAGAACTTGCAGCGGTGCCATAATTCACGATTATGTTCTTGTTACTGCTGCCCACTGTTTGTTAGTATATTTCATTAAGTGTGTTTTTTTGTTAATTCAAACTGCATTTAAGTAGTAATTTGCTCCTGACGAAAACATGAAACTTGGTATTATGAAGTCGTAGGCGAGCATCAACGTGCGTCGTATAAGCCTCAAAGTGGGAAAATAGAGATGAATTTGCTACAGGCGAAACGCGTCGCGTAGCTTCGCCTCGGCGCCAGTGTGACTTGAGCCTTATTGTAATTCATTCTCATTGACATTAAATGCTGCAGATGAGTGCTTACTCAGTGTAGGTGATTACTCAAATATCTATCTATATTTGAAAGAAAAATTATTTTTACATTAATACGGATAAGAGTAATCAAACAAGGAACCACGACCGGTCTACAAAGTTTTAAGCAGAATAAGATCTGTGCCTGTAATCCCAAAATCGATAGTCGATGTATTCTTTCTAAATTCGTCGTATCATGTCCCATTTTATTGCATCAAATCTATGTACAGCCGCCTTAATACATATTGGCCAACCGAAAGCCAATACCAATGTATAAACAGCATATTCATCTTGCCTTGTCATCGCTCGGTGTAGCTTGCCAAATTTTCCAAGTATAGGGAACCGCCACCGATAACAACCGATAACGCCAACTGATAGCGCACCAACGAATGGGCAGCTCCAGAAAGATGGTTGCCACATGCATTGGTCTTCTTCAAACTTGCCAACGCTTAGACGGCGGCACTTGCCTTGTATCAGTTTTCCCACGCACGCTTTGGGTTAAACTAGGCCAACATGTATCAGCGGTTTTAGTTAAGTAGAATTGACGACGATGGAGATCACGTTAAAAGACAGACTTATTTTATCAAGTCCCTGTTATATAGTATTTTAGAGTAAAATTGCTAGATTTAAATCTTAAGAAAATTTTACCGGAAAAAAATCCACTTGCTCCAAACATCAGAAAGGATTCGAATCCGCACTTCCTGCTACCGGGTGGACGCACTAACCAATTACGCTACCGAGACCGTAATGGCTGTTAGTGCATCCGACCAGATAGCGCAAGGTGCAGATTCGATTCCTGCCGGTGCCTGGACCAAGTTCAATGTTTTCTAGTAAAATTTTCCTTAAACATATTATAATCAACCACATGTTTCATTATATTTTCAGCGTCCACGAATTGGATGAGAGTGTTAAGCCTGAAATTACAGCTTCATTCGTTGTGATAGGAACGAAAAAGATGTTCCTCTCGGGCTACGAACAATACCTGCCTATAGAGAGAATCCTAACGCATCCCAAGTACGACGGTTGGTCCGCGGACATAAGTCTGGTGTACACGTTTGCTGGAATGACTTCGGACAAACCGGGCAAAATTGTGAGGCTGGCGGGGGAAAAGGCGACGAACCAGGGAGACTACAATGTCACCGTGTATAGTTGGAGACATCCTAAAGAGGAAGAGGTATTTGTTCCGTTCACTGTTACGAAATCTAGTTACACGTCTGGCTTAACACTGGTTAGTTAATATAGAAATAACCAGTCCCAAGGGCTGGCATGTTCTTGTAAGAATGAAAGCCGCTAAATAAATAAAGATTATAAAAAAAAAATCACTACCTTTTTTTTAAATCCAGTGATTTCTAGCGAATTTAATCGCAAATTAAACGTGCACATACATACCAGAGACAAAATATTTTTGTCCATATTATTATAAGAAAAACGTTATATTCTTGATAAGTATGCTAAACAGTTGCAATTTATAATTGTGTAAGGTTTCATAAAAAAAATGGTTAAACTAAGAATGAGTATTTTTTCGTTTTTGTAATTACCGTTTGTGTTTTGTTTTAAAGAATCAAGAGGAGTTCCCCGCTGTAACACCTACACCGCCGTGCCCTGATTCAATATCTCGGGAAGATGGAGATGTAAGAATATACGTAAATGTTGTTGAAACCTGCCATCATAGCACAGATGGCGGATTTTACAGCCATTAAAAAGGTCTTATTTAAAAAAATGCCATGGAGTCGAGTGGTATATCAAATGAAAGAGGAAAACATCTTATACAAATATTAAGTTAAAGTGATTCATTCTTCTTCTAATCCGAAAACATTATCGAAAAGTTACCAGTTGAAGCACTGCACTATAATATATTTTAATTTCACATCAAGTACAGCATGCAGGCATAATTTACAGATGTAATTTCATGTTGGAACTCATAGCCTCTTTTTAATAAACAAAGAATAATCTTGGATTTAGATACTCCATGTTTTACCTCTGTCCATTGAATGACAAATGGCATTTGAGTGACATTATCAAAATATGGCGTAACTTGTCTAAGCTTAAAGCTGTAACACGCACTCGAATTTGGTTCGTACAGACCACGAATTTGGTTCGCTGCTGTAGAGTAGTCCTGCTAACATAATTATTGTTAATTGAGTCCGCCTCGGTCCGCTAGTTTGCACATGGGATACGGTTTGCTCCGTACTGAATCTGGACGTGTGGACGGTTGGGCCGAACAAACTACGACTAGTTGTGTTCGGAACGCCAAGAAGGACGGCCGCGCGTGCACTCATTTTACATTATGGAGGAAATTTAATAAATTTTCAATGGTTTCGCGGTTCATTTGCAGATATATTTTAAAATCATCTTCAGCTAAAATTCTTATCAATTTTATGTGACTAAATTCGTCACGTTCTCTTAAATACTGTTTCGCCCATTCTCTTCTTTTTCCCGCTTTTTACGTGGTGGATGAAACATTGCTGCTAATGTTGCCGCTACCACCATAATTTTCGTGTCCAACGACATGACGACAACCACTTGAAGGCGTACGTGAAGCAACTCTCCGATTCGGTCGTCTGTAGCGAGAACGGATTTAGTAGGCGAATTAGGTCTGCCGGACCAAATTAGAGCGGGTGTTAATAGCATTATTCCTCGTTTATTAATAAGGGGGGTAAAATTTATTGCTGTGTGCCTATTTCAGAATTCTGCAACTGAAGCTGCATATGAAAGCAAACGTCCACGAAAAAAATTCCGTGTACGTACACTTAACATTGTTTCTCATCAAAAAGACAGTAAACATGAACTATTTAACATTCTAAAGAAAATATAACTAGAAAAAAAATCCACGAGGACCAGGCAGCAGACGGGACTCAAACCCGCACCCTTTGCAATCCGGGCGAATGCACTGACCAATTATGCTACCGCGGCCCTTACGGACCGCGTCGAAATTCTTCTAGTCATTCTTAAGCTGCAAGGCAGCGCCATCTCTTCGCATTATAGGTAACCCACAATGTCAAATGAATACTTTTACAAGTATTAAACATTTGAAAGAAGAAATAGCAATTATAGTTATAATTTCTTTAGATTTAAACATCAAGCAGTTACATGCTTTCAAAAAAAATATTTAACATTCTACTTTATTATATTTTATAATTGTAAGCTCAGCTTAATAATTTGAGCAGATTAGAGAGCTTACAATAGCTCTCTACGCTCGATCTAAAAAGAAAGTTACTAGAAGATATAATAGAAGAGACTCGGTGAAGGTGTCGGGCGGTAGCACTGAGTTTAACACGTGTTCCTCCGTGCTTCGGAAGGCACGTTAAGCCGTTAGTCCCGGCTGCAACTGCAGTCGTTAGCATACACCAATCCGCACTGGGCCCGATAGCGCAATCTCCCAATTCCATCCATAGGAAAGGCCGGTGCCCCAGCAGTGGGGACTTTAATAGGTTGATGATAATGACATTCTATTTCAGCCCTTTATATATTTCTACACAGGGCACAAAAGCTCCGAACTGGTATGCTAGAGGAAATACAGCAGCAGGCATGGCTGCTAAAACAATCAAAGAAAAAATTCCTCCTGGTATATTATTCAAGTACCCGGTTTTACAATTAAAAAATCAAGCTGAAAAAATGCAACATCCTCTACAGTGGAAAGCAAAAGAGACCAGTAAGAAGATAAGTCGTTACCTAACTTCAGACGAAGAGAGTAGAGTAAGATCTTTTTTTAATCTCAAATAAACAAAAACACTTTTTTTGAGACTTTAGCGCCACCTAAAATGCGCATTTTTGGTTGTACGAGATTGCAACAATGACATTAATTGTAGTACTCAACGCCCTCTGCAATTATGGTCGAAAAAAAAGTTTCTAAAATGCATACAAAACAAGAAAAATGCGTTTCAAAAAATTTTGAGGGTTTTTTTGAGTTTTTCAAAAAACGCCTACGAGTTGAACATGCCCATCGCCAAGGTGGCTTACTGACGTCATTTGGCAACAGAAAAAACAAGACTTACCCTTTAGGTTTTTTTTCTCTACTCAACCTACAGATTGACTGTACTATAACCTGAAAAACAACTTGACAGTGGGTGTAATCGGTTACGATAACATCCATCTTTTTAAAGTTTTCTAATACTTGTAGATGGTTATTATCTTAGAAAATAAAGTTGCGTAGAAAGTTAGAAATTTTAGGAAAATTATAATTACAACTCTACGCGATAGGTGGCTAGCAGTCGGGTTTTAGGATATATTATTAATCCTTATCCTAACTAATATTTTTAATGCGAAAGTGAATTTCTTTATTTTTTTATTATTTACGCTTTCACGCAAAAACTACTCACGGATTTGAATGAAAACTGGCACGCATATAGTTTAGGACCTGGATTGAGACATAGGATGTTCATAGGGGTTCTATAAAATTTCAGTTTTACGCGGACGATGTTGCGGGCGGCCGCCACTTAATTATATAATTTGAAAGGGTCAATCACACAAAAACGGGTGAACGAATTTGGATGAAATTTGGCATAATAACAATATTATGTAGATTATGCTTTATATAGAATACTTTTCCTATATATCCTAGAATACTGTAAGGTCCCTGTCGGATTCTCAAAAAAGTAACTGTAACGCGGATGAAGTTGCGGGCGGAAGTTAGTCAGATATAAAGGAATCTTTAAACAGAATATTCTTTTTATATTTCATAGCAAGAAGACAGTATTGCTGTTATTCTGATGACAGACGATGCACCAAGCAACAGGCCACAGCGTGCCAACATGTCGCTGACAACAACATCTCCTACGGTACATTTTTCTAAGTATTCATTTTGTAAGTAGAAATTTATTCTTGGAAAATTTCAAAATACAAGTTTAGCTAATAACATAAAGGTAAAAATCGAAAAAATGCAAAATGAGTATACTCATTAAAAAAGTCTAACCAGCAGGTTTTGAACTTTTGAACGGTTTTGACTATTGTAATTTATTTATACTGTACTAGTTACCTACTAAAAACACAATCCAAAAGTTGCTATTTTAAAATCAGCCAATTATATTTTCGAAGACAAAAAAAGATTGTATACTGAGTGGTGTACAATGTTTATTTTTAAGTCTTGCTTTACTAAGAATAAAAATAAACATCAGTTAATAAAACATAGAATTTCTGTAAATGATGCGGGTTGCTTTAACTTTTTTGTTGTGTGTATAAAAAGAAAATTATATATTGCATTGATTTGACTTCAGTTCAATGCAATACTTTCTGAAAAACTAAGCCTGTAAATGAGATGAAGTTAAAATGCCTAGTCAGGTCATAAATTCTGTCACATGTTTAATATAAAATAATTAAAACAAGTTTATTCATTATGTTACCATTTATATACCAAAATGAACTTAACAAAACAAAGATTCTTATGACTAGAAAGTTTATTCAAAATGACCTCCGTGATTTTGAATACAGGCCTTCAATCTGCGCGGCCAGTCGTCTATTGCAGCACGAACGAGGTCAATGTCAATATCGGCGGCTGCCTTAATCAAGGATGTCTTGAGTGACTCCAAATTGGTATGAGGCTTTGAGCACGTCTTTTCCTCCAAGTGTTGCCATATCTTGTAATCTAACGGACTCAAATCTGGACTGGAGGAGGGCCAGTCTTCGTCGGATGAAGTACGATTTCACGCCGCCAGTCAGTCTTGTGTGCTCTTCGCTCTATGAGCTGGCGCCGAATCTTGTTGGAATACCCAGTGCCTGTTATTGAACATGGTATGAGAAACAGGTTTCACAAGGTTCGTCAGGACTGGATTTTGATACACAACTGCATTCGTTTTTACACCTTTCTCACAAAAATTTACCTAAACTCCCAACCATAACATGAAAATGACCTCGTTGGACACGCGGAATACGGTTGCTCGCTTCTTGACTTCTGTGTGCGTACACCTTATCATTTTGTTTGTTGTAGCTCTCTTCTACGGTAAAAATTTTTTCATCTGAAAAAATAATTTCCCGATATTTTTTTCCCGCGTACCGCTTCAACAAAGCGCGGCATCTCTTCAGTCTTAGGTCCATTAGACGAGCATTCAAACGATGTCCTGTTTTTCTTCGATATGCTCGAAGCCTAAAGTTTTCATTTAACCTTTTCACCGTGCTTCTGCTTAACCCCACCTGAAGGGCCAACAGTTTCTGCTTACGTTTGGGATTTCTTTGAATTCGCGCCCTTACAGCTTTTATCACTGCAGGAGTCCTAACAGACCGAGGGCGACCACTTCTTGACCTGTCATTTACACTAGAGTCTTCATTGTATCGTTTGATGGTACGATAAACGAATCTTTTGGTTCTATTCAAATTTTTCAGTATGTTAAAAATTTTAATTGGCGCGTAACCGCAACGATGCAACGCAATAACTGCAACACGGTCTTCTTTAAGCGTCCACTCCATATTTAAAAATGAGTAAAATTCTAAAAAGTATACATTTTTATTTTGATGAACAATTGGAAATTAGAATTCTATAATTTTTTTTGTGGCCAGCATTCTAAAAGAAAAGTTTTTACTGTGTGACAATACTTATGACCTGACTGTGTATTGGATGAAATATTTAAAACTAATTAAATTATTTACTTACCAGTATAATTTAGCGATACTTGAATCTATTCTCGAAAATAATTTATTCGCTTTACGTAATTTCGATGAATTTATGATTAATTTAATTATAATTAATTTACACTTCTGTTCTCTGACCTTATTTATAACTTTGACTATCTAGCTCAGTCATTCTTAATTATGTAAGTTTAATTTACGTTTCGCAAGTAACTTGTTTATTAACAAGTCTTTACTTGAAGCTGCCAAAAGAAATTCCTCTTGGAAATTGATATAATGAAATGATAACCTTATTTTCAATACTAATCATTATTTTAAGTATTCTAATTATTAACAGTAATTTCTAAAAGAGTTAAAAACATGTCTCGGACGGATAGGCTGTCAGAAGCCCTTTCCACTGGCTCACATTTTTTTATGTAACATAGTAGCTAATAATTATTATTATGACCTACATTATGGTGTGCCTCCAAGTGCTTGTGATACCAACGAATCATTCCCGTGTTGCCTTCCTTGATTTTTTTTCTTACCCCGTGAAGACTAGCAATAGAACCCTGCATACATACAGAAACACATAACCAACAAAGGATAGTTTTGTTATTTTGCGGTCTTATGTGAGGTGGAAATGACTAGACTAGACTACTTGACTAGAAACTCCGCTAAGAAAGGATTTTGATCAATTCTACCCCCAAGGGGATAAAATAAGGAATGAAAGTTTGTATGAATCTTTGTCAATTTTAAACCGATCGGGCTGAGACTTTGCATGCAGATATAAGAAGAATCATAGACGAATGTCATTGTGTACAATACAAGCCTGAGAACAAAAACTGTAGTCTACACTTCAGCTCTACACCGAAGCGAAGCGAGGGCGGGCCGCTAGTGAATCATAATTAGATAAAAGACTAAAAAAATTACCACCTTTTTTTCTGTTTGCTGCGATTTATGTATTATATATCAATTGGTGAGTAACATGCTTTGACGTTACCTTCGATCACAGAAAGGTATCTTTCTGTGATGCAGGTAACATGCACAGACAAGCAGACTTCAATAAGTAGAATTTGATTCAGGCCAGTATCTGTCGCGTCAGTGCATGCACCCCGATAAAGTCGTTTTGGTATTGAACTCCTTCAAAAGATTAATGAATTAGTTGAAGCCCAAATAATTTGTGGGCAATTCGTCACCTACATATTCAACTACCACTATACCACCACAACAAAATTACTCTCGCTTTTTTAGGGTGTAAGGTTGTGCATACCCAAAGGGTGAACTCGGGACCCTATTACTAAGACTCCACTGTCCGTCTGTCACCAGCCTATATGTCATGAACCGTGATAGACTGTTAAAATTTTCACAGATGATGTATTTCTGTTGCCGCTATAACAACATATAATAGAATAAAATACATATTTAAGAGGGGCACCCATACAACAGCCGTGTCTTTTTGGCGTTTTTGCTATATATTAAAATAACGGCAACGTTTGAAATATTCATACAATATTGAGTTGTGTATATTTAATTTTAAAATAAATACTAAATCAAAATAAAATAAATATTTAAGGGGAACTCCCATACAATAGACGTGATTTGATTGCCGTTTTTGTTCCATATTATAATAAATGTTTAATGTTGTACAGTTAATTGTCCTGATAAATTTGTTGGACTCGTAATTCCTGATTATGTTATTTTTATCAATACTTCCAATTCAGGGTGACAACGAAGAAAGGTCACATACTTTCCTGGCACGGACAGTTAAGAGGCTGTCACCTTCAGCAAGACGCAGACAACAAACTATTAGAGGTTGGAGGCGCCTCTTAGTCACCCTGGTAATTAAATGAAAGTTTTATCATCGAATTAATGACTTATAATCTTCTTTCTATATTATTCTCAATAATAAATACGCCTAGTAGAAACTGGATAGTTTATTAATATTAAATTAATCATAATTTATACCTAAATTAAATTACCTAAAATTAGTAAAGATCAGCTGAAAGTCAACAGGGCGTACAGAAGCGAAAACAGAGTTCAAACTTTAACGAAATACTTGTGGCTTAAACATTCACGATACCAAACATTATCCTTCTGACAAACTTAATCGAACTTCTCAAAACATATTGATTTTTGCGTATTTTTATGTTTATATTAATTGTAATTAATTCCAGTCCCCCAAGGATTCAAGAGAAACTTCTCGTCAAGTTTTTTAATAACAAAACAAGCTCTGGATGCTGCTCAACAAATATTTAATTTCAAACTAAGCAGCATTTGTACTGACGAGACTAAATAATGTATAAAAATCAAGCATTTAATTGCACGAGCGTAAGCGTTTATTTGCTAACACTACGCTCAAACCAGTTTGGCTACTTAAAGAAAAATAGGTCCGGACGATCTCTGGATTAGAAGCCAAGAGCACTACCGTTAGTTCTGTTATTAAAAACAACAGAATGACAATATGAACCCCTACTATACAAATTAAATTCATACTTTTTCCAGTATAACGTGTTATACATCGAGCATTACAATTTGGTATCGGCGTCATCATGCAAAAAAATCCTTGATAATGCATTAGCACCACGCTTCGTATTTAGTGAGTACAAATACTACCTATTTTATTTGAAATGTCGCACAAGCGATGTAAGTAGGTATTTCCTTAAGATTACACCGTGATATGTATATTTCAAGTCTGTTCTTCATTTGTTATATGCTATTTTTCTACTGGCTGAGGACCAGTACGAGTGCTAAAACTACTTTTTTCATGTTATTAATTACCGACAGTAAAGGTTGGTAATATCAGGTTGAGGAAAGAGTTATTATTAGTCAAGTAACATATATTAAACATGGCTTGTTGTTTAATCAAAACTAAGAAAGTGTCAATGTGACTTAACATACATCTCATTCCAAACTATTAAATAAAGGGATAGAGGAAAGCTAAAAGATCAAAATTCAGGCACTTGTCTATCAGGTTAATTCGTTGTTTTATGATGCTGTAAATGCTGATTTACACCGGGGCATTTGTTTAATGATAAACTTGTGAATTTGGACTTATTTCGTCATAAATTAGATAGATTTAAAAAATATCTATGCGGTGTATTTTGGAGTCTGATTAGGCTACTCTAGTATAATGATTTTATAGTTTTATTACTGCTTTAATTATTTATTGCTGGCATGGTACATTATTTGTATTTTATCAAATCAGAAACAATTTTTTGCTTATATATATTCTGTGATTTCATTGAGAAAACTAAAATATTATATAGTACAAATAATATAAAATAACAAAGACTGTTTATTTCTTAATAAAAAAAAATATAAAAGAATACAGCACGATGCTTTGTTAATGACTTGGGGGCATGAGGCTGCGTCGGCTTCATTTGCAGCATACCACACGGTAACCCACGCTAAAATATATAGCATGACAAAATGTCGCATGTTATTTCCTCGTCGTAAATCAGTCTTAACTTGTCATAATTAAGAAATCTAAAAATTAGACACTATGTTCACCATAAGTATTATTTTTGTTGAGCAAAGCATCAGTTTTAATTATTTTGACTGTTACATGCATTTAAGGTAAGTTTAACTAACAACTTTAGAAAAAGTATAAAATAAAATTTCATGGAGTGTAAATTTTTCTGTGCCTCTTCAGATAAAGGTGAAGTTGCCTGCTACAGCAGCCACGAACACATCCTGACAGATGTAAGTAATGGAGGATATTGTTTCCAATAAACAATAGGAAAAATGTTCAGAAAGCCCTTCCGCGTAATTTAACAATAGCTTTATGTAACAATGGGTGGACTTTCAATTCTGTAATTACCACTCTTCATATAGTAGGTCTCACATTTTGTAAAATTCTTTTTGTACAATGAAATCACAATCACACCATAATAAAGTAAATCCCATGTTTAATTAATTCGCTTAACATGAAAGACCCGGAAGCATGAAATCGAGATGAGTAAATTATGTATGCGTTTTTTGCATTCGTGCAATGCACGCCATCAGTGCATTCAGCTAACAATCAAACTCCTTAAATTAACGAAAATGAATGAGTAGGTAAATTGAAATTCGTTTTGATTTTGAAACGGGCCTTCCAAAAACTAATACTACTTAAACAACTCTGAAAAAAAACTTTACTCTAAACTCGTACACGAGGGAAACTGAATGAAAACTCTTTTCAGGAGGACTCTGGCGCACCTGTAGTGAGACACTCTAAACTAGTAGCGATAACCATAGGAGGAGCCGAATGTGATGGAGACCACGTCGGAGTCGGGCTGAAAATCAGCTGCTACTGCTCCTGGATAGCGGACAATATACCGTAAGTTTCAGTAACGCTAGACATAGAGGATTGAGCAATCATCATCATCAGCCTATTAATGTCCCCACTGTTGGGGCACAGGGCTTCCCTATGGATGGTATAGGGAGATTGGGCCATGACCTACCACCCCGGCCCAGTGCGGATTGGTGGATGCTAACGACTGCAGATGCAGCTGGAACCAACGGTTTAGAGTGCCTTGCGAAGCACGGAGGAACTCGAGATAGAAAATTTTTGGTCACCCATCTAAGGCCGAACGCGCTAACCACTTACGCCATCGAGCTCCTCCTTTCAGAAAATTACTCGAAGTTCTTAGTAAATAAAAGCGTGTTTTAGTTTTTTTATACTATTAATTTATATTTTTTACTTGTTGTAAGCCGGGATACCAACAACTTTGAGTAATTATCTCAAAATTTTCATAAATATTTGATGTAATGTAGAACACTTTGAGATGGATAAATAACGTCTCGCTTGGTTCATCTTTATTGCTTTCACGTGTACCTTAAATATGAAGCGATGCTTTTAAATATCAGAAATAATAGATCTCAAATTAGTTTATTGCTTACGGAGTTTTACGTCCTACCACTTTTTGTTTTTGTAAGTTCTGTTTATTTTATTTATTTATTTATTTCGAATTAGTACACATCTTAAAATTAATTACCAATACAATATTATCAGACAAAATTAAAGCTGTTGTTTTATATTTATGGTCTAGCTTGTGAATGCTCATCCAAAAATATTGAAGAATTTTATTGTTAAGGAAAATGTCTGAAGAGAATTATTTTAATATCTCCTCAGGTTCACCTCAACTTTAAAAGCTTCACTTGCATCATAGTTTCATTAAACCAAACCATTTTTAGGGTTCCGTATCTTAAAAGGAAAAAGCGGAACCCTTATAGGATCACTTTGCTGTCCGTCCGTCCGTCCGTCCATCTGTCAAGACCGTTTTACTCAGGAATACGTGGAGGTATCAAACTGAAATTTATATCTAATACTCAGGTCTACTGCCCCGTGGAGCTGTGAAAAAATCAAACTTCTAAGCAAAAGCAATCAAAAGATACAGCCTTTTATGCCGCAAATTTCCGCTTTTGGAAACTCGCACGGGAATCAAAACCTACTATAATAGTATACTAACCTACCCGTGAACTTAGAAACTTGAAATTTAGTACGAAGTAACGTCTTATAATACAGATAAAGGAAAAAATTCCACAACCGTAAATTTTTAGTTATGTCTTATAATTTTTTAATTATTTTTAATTATTTAAATATACCTACAGGTTTGTACGGATCCCTCGGTGCGCGAGTCCGAAAGGCACTTGGCCGTTTTTTTTTATTTAATTGTGTATTTCTAGAATACAAATAAGGGTATAAGGTATGTTAACCTTATTATACCTGTACATAAACCAAATTTGTTCTCCTTACAAATTAAAACGCAATGTTCTTTCATTAAACCATCCCAATCCCACCCCTTTGAAGTTTCTTGGCATCATAATCACAAAACGTTTGGGAGATAAAGATGTCCTTTGTGTGAGCCTTGATTACACGTTCTAAGTTCACCTAGCGGTACATCAGATAATAGCAAAGTTAATAAAATTAATTAATCCCTTAACGATTCAACATTCCATTTTAAGAATGAGTTAGAAATATTTACATTTCTTAATAACCTGTACACTCATGTTGTTATAATAATAATAATAAATATTACCAACACTCACACCAATTAGCCTTGCCCCAAAGTAAGCACTGTAAGGCTTGTGTTATGGGATACTAGGATAACGGATAGAATACATATACAGTACATATATAAGTATATTTATATAGAAATACATATTAAACATCCATGACTGGAGTACAAATGCTCGTATTCATCACACAAACATCTGCCCCCACCGGGACTCGAACCCGGGACCTCTCGAGTTGGCGACACCTTGAAACCCGGCGTACAAACCACTCGGCCACGGAGGTCGTCAAATTATACATCTTATATATAAAATTCTCGTGTTACAATGTTAGTTGTAAATCTCCGTCATGTAGCTGATTTGAGTCTGGTCCTATCGGTGTATAAATCCCTTTGTGAATCCATCGTAACATACTGCATCACCTCACAATCGATCTTAATAAAGCTCGAACGTGCGCAAAGAGCCGTACTTAAAATATGTATTAAGAAACCTATTTTATTCCCAACTACAGAACTTTATCAAATGTGCCAAGTTTTAAACGTCCGACAGTTGTTTATACTTAATACTGTTCTTAAACAACACAGCGCGGTGGATCCCTCCCTGCACTCTGCTCAGCGTAATCATCTTGTAGCTGTCACACCTCGGTGCAGAACTACTTTTGCATACCGTTTCTTTTATTTTCTGGGCCCATACTGCTATAATCTGCTCCACTCAAAATTAAACATTGTCCACTACACAAACAGAAATTGTAAAATCTTTGTTACTCAATTTTTACGTACTCAAACATACATAGAAACTGAGAATTTATTGTATTTCCATAGATAAATAAGCCTAACCTTATAAATCTCTCTCATTCTTTCAAATTTTGAGGTACCAAATATGCTTACACACTTGTTACAGTTAAAAATTAAGGCAAGTTGTTACTTGTAGGCTTTGATATTAATCAAAGCTTGTAGGTACTTATTCTCATTTTAAGCGTAGTCGTGTAACTTTTGTAATTTAAGATGTTTTTCTTTTCTTCCTATACCTACAATTTAATATGTAAGATCAATGACCTTATAATTTGATCAATGTACATTCTCACACGTACATGAGGGAGAGTCCTGGTGCTCTGAGATACAGGCGTTCTGCCTAGTTCAGGCACCAGTCTCTCACAATCTATTTACTGTTTTTATATAAGAATTAAAGTATAATAAGTTGTCATGGAATTTGTAGATTGTGGAAGAAGAAATAAAGATTATTATTATTATTATTATTATATTATTAGTTACCATACTCCTCTGAAACGGCCTGATTTTTATGAAATTTAATACTCATATTCCGTGGGTCTGAGAATCGGCTACTACCTATTCTTCATATCCTTATGTGATAATGGTTGTCCACCTGTAACATAGTGTTCTGAAACCTACACTGCGCCTTCACGCCAAAATTCAAACTATTGGGTATTGTAACGTAGTGTTCTCATATGGGTCAGGAGGAATTTTATCCCAGTATTAAAATAGAACACTACGTTACACATCCCTAAATTTTTTTTGGACAATATGTATCTTTTTATAATGTGGTATTAATTAAAAAATACATACAACCCTAAATTTTCTCTTCTACCACCTACCCCTATTTTTATGGCGGTACGAAGTTCGCTGGGTCAGCTAGTATATTAAATGTGTCAATTAGGTACCTGTTTTTATTTACTTTATTCAACTGTTATCAAAATCAGACTTTGTAGATAAACCACTTTATATAATAGAAAAGCAACATTTCAATGCTCTGCCATTTGTCTCTGATTTCTTGTGATATTCAATAAATTTTATTCATGGAGTACGCATTGTAATCGTAGTGTACATGATAGCAAATAAATAAATATTCGTAATTAAATATGAAAAAACCAAACAAAAAACGTTGACTATTTAAATTTGCGGTCAGTGTCATTAAACTTGATTCAAGCGGTCCTTCTACAGCAAGAAATTCATTAACTATTTATTCCATCCAATAAAATTCATTACTCCAACAATACCTTTTAGGACGAGAGAAATGAATGTTAAGAAGTCCAGAGATCCCGAGTAAATACCACTTACACTAAAATCAAGTTACTCTTAGTAATGGAATTTTTATACTTCATTATATATAAAATTTTCTATTTTGATGTTCCGTATTTATTTACTAATAGTATATCAGCTTTAGGGTACTTATACTGAAAACGTTATTTCAGGGAAATTAAGAATAAAAAGAGGCCTAAACATGATTTATTCTAAAAATGTTTATAGAAGGTATCGTCAATCTCTTTAGCTTATCTCCTATAATATAAAAATGAATCGCTGAATATGTTGCTAAGCGCAAATCTCGAGAACAGCTGACCGATTTCGATAATTCTTATTTTAGAATATTCCTTGAAGTACGAGGATGGTTCTTACGCAGAGAAAATAAAAAATTGCCTGAAAAGTCCAAAAATAACACTTTTCTATACTCCCATACAAACGATTCGTAATAATACTTGAAAGTCAATTTGAACTTTAATACCATACCATAAATTTCAAATGTTAGTGGAGAGGTTCCGGGAAGGCAAAACAATTGAGTGCCGTGATGTCAATATTAGTTTGGAACAGGCAAATATACTATTTTCATTTTTTTTATAATTATATGAAGAGTCATTTTAGTCTACACTACAGCTCCACACCGAAGCGAAGCGAGGGTGGGCCACTAGTGTTATATAAAACAAATAAAACATATTCGTACTAAGAACAACTTACTTTTTTTTTAAGTTTAAAGTTATGTTTATATCGGTAGGTACTTATTTTGAAAATATCTTTGTATTTATTCAACACCTACAAATGACAATAGTTTAGCTACTGAACAGACTCTGATTAAGTTTCGTTATTGTTTAAAGTTTTGAAAAGGACAAAAGACAAAGTTCTGTTGCAAAATAAAAGCTGAAAGAGGAATGAAATTGGGGATGAAAAATTATTTGAAAAAAAAAATGTATTAAGCAAAGTCGTGGGCGCAAGTTTGCTTATGCCAACATTATGTTATTACTTAAAAAAATAATTTCTTACTCCTGATTATTATCAAATGGTACGTACATAATAATAAAACAGATATCAATGTCTAAGACTCAATTTATGCTATCGTTAAGCCGCTTAAACGGGAAACTTTGGCATTTGCCCAATAAGCCGTGACTTATTGGTGTGACACCTTGAGTCTATTACCCTACACGTCCTCCAAGGGATTACTCGAAAGCTTCAGTAAAAACCTTGTTCTACTACGACTGAGCAAAGTCGGAATAGCCCCCCGGCTTAACGGCGCGTAGCGTGACGTGAATTACACGTTTTGTTCGCAGTCATGCATGCTCTTCCATTGCTGTTGTGTGTGTACTGTTTTTATATACTCTGTTTTACGCTTAAGGCATCGACAGACAGGAAATTATTGTGGAACAGAAGTGGATTCCTGTCCGTTTCTTAAAAAATAAAATAGTTATTTTGTATTTTTCTTTTCTGATTAAAAACAGTCAAGGATTATAACATAACATATTATATATACATTATTATATTATATATATACACACATCAAAAGTGTCTAGGGATCAACATATATTTTTGCAATAACTTTTCTCCTGATTGATATTAATTAAAATTTTCTTTAAGGATTCATCAAATAAAGTGTTTTCGTTTGTCACAGTAACGATAAACCAAGTCACCTTTGCATTAATAAAGAAATTTGCCATTTTCCTAATAAAGGGATTTTTGACATTTGAACCACTAACACAAAAGTTCGAAAAAAAGACTGAAATAACAGTTTTCTCTAAAATTTTATTGGGTAACTTAAACAATTAATAATCCGTATTTCTACCGCGAACACTAACAACACAAGAACATCGGTTTGGCATACTCAAAATGAGTTCATCCAAATCACGCTGTGGAATGGCCGCCCATGTTCGTTGCAACAACAAAAAAAGGTCTTCTTGCGACTGGATACCCTCCATATTCGGCAGAGCTCTTCTCTGTAGCATATCCCATGCATGCTCAATCGGGTTCAAGTCTGGCGACTGAGCAGGCCAGGGCAGGACATTGATGTTAGCTGCGGCGAGAGTCTGTCTTACAACTCTTGCGGTGTGCGGTCGTGCATTATCATGCATTAACTGAAATAAGGGACCGATTTGCACTTGTAGAGGAACGATGACGTCTGATACAATCGTCTCAGCATAAATTTGAGCGTTGAGGTTGCCTCTGATCCAAATCAACTCAGTTCTTCCGCCGATCCAAATACCCGCCCATACCATGATGGTTCCACCACTATAAGGATGGACTTCCTGGCAGGATTTTAATCGCTGTTGGCGTCCAGGGGTTCTCCAGTGTCGTATACGTCTTGTATCCGGTCTCATACCAAAACGAGACTCATCAGAAAAGCACACGAAACGCCATTGTTCTTCTGCCCAATTTCTGTGTTCAAGAGCCCATTGATATCGAATCCTACGATTGTGCATTGCTATAGGTGGTACCCGTAGCGGTCTTCGGGAATGAAGGTTCACTTCATGCAAGCGGTTTCTGACTGTTTGGTCGCTAATTAAGTTCCCTGAAGAGTGATGAAGCCTCACGGCTAACATCATGGCGGTTATTGTTGGAGCTCTTCGAGTTAAGATTTGAATGTATCGGTCTTGTCTCCGTGTGGTGCAGCGATACCGTCCTCCATGGCGCTCAGCCACGGTACCACTGCTTCGGTATCGTGTCCAAAGTCGACTGATAACACTCTGACTTGTATTCAGAGCTAAAGCCACAGTACGTTGCCGGGAACCAGCTTCTATCATTCCCACGGCTCTGAGCATTTCTTCCCTGCTTAAATGACGTCGCCGCTCCATAATAACGTTGGTTTTAATCAGTAGTAGGGAAACAGTAGCACTAATAATGTCTTCAATGCGTTGTATGTTTTTATAGGGAAAATATTGACAGCTGATTTTCATCTTTTACTCGAATTTGATTCACAGTTCCTGATTCAAATTATGAAATGCACCAAAAAGGATCCATATAAATTTATAAAATCATAAATTTATTACAAAGCCACATCTCAATCTCAAGAAATCCGCATAAAAATGCTTGATCCCTAGACACTTTTGATGTGTGTATATTATATATTATAACATATGAAGACATGACCTGGCTGGAAATTTATTACAGACTGAATGATTAAGTTGATTATGTTGCAAAACCATTCATGGTATTTAGAAAGTTGTGAATAAATAAATAAAACATAAATGATTGATTGATACATTTTAAAGACGTTGATACTAGCATGTTTCTCCTAACTTAAAACTAAATTTAACATCAGTCTCTCCTTTATATTCTATACAGGGCGTCCCACGGCAACCTCACACGGATGGAAAGTATATTAAATATTGAAGATAGGATATTTTACTGAAAGAAGACATCATTTTATTTTTAATAATAACTAGAGCTGCATTCACAGATTTTTTTAAAATCGGCTGTTACAACTGGGAATATAACTCGTGAAATTTCGAAAAAAAATACAACTCTAATTATGATAACTATGGAAAGGGTTAATCATAAGCATTATTTTTTGTTAAATAACATAGCATTTTAAATGAAAGGAATGTCTTATTACGTGATAAAAATAATAAAGTGTTAAACAAACTGAAGTACGTATGCTTTCTTTTTGAACTCACAGTTACAATGCGATTGGCTGTATAAAAATAATAATTCGAAAATGGAACACATAAATTTTCAAGCGTCTGTTCTTTTTTTGAGTTTCATTTTCGTTTATTTGCATTTATTTTGTTATTTTACTTACCATGGCGTATCAAAACAAAATGGATTTAATGGAAGCTTACTTTATGAATTAAAATATGTTCTTGTCATTTTAATAAATATAGAGCTTTTACTAAGCTTTAAATTTTACCTACGGGCCTCTTAATCAGGTCGAAAATCATTTAACATTATTTGCATGTTGATGCTTGAAAATTCGGGTTGGATTTAGAAACAAGTCGCCTGAATTTGAGGCTACTGGATGTGTAAGGAGTTAAAGTAATATCGTTTTTGACTCCCTAAAGTAACTTTGGTTGCCGGAGTTGCGTATAAATATTTTGAAACTGTTTTCAAAAATTCGTAAAATACAATTGTAAATGAGTGGAACGGAACGTATTTTTTTTATTAGTTTTGTATAATTGTTGTCTTTAAAGCAAAATATTAAACAAACGCGTGTAACGAAAAGCAAACCGCCATTTTGAAAGTTTACCGAAAATTCAAACTAAAAAGCTAAGTACGTAGTTTTAGAAAGGCGCAGATTGAAGTATTTTCCTACTGCTGCACTAGTCATTGACCTGAAATCGTAAATAATACATTAGATGGAAGGAAAATGGCTGCTGAGAGCGTTAACACGAGAAATAATGTCTTATCCTCGATACGGGCCACCGTTTTCTGTTATTGCTCTTCTCAATTATGTTAGTTCTGATCCCACTTTGATATATTCTATACTAGCGGTTACCTCGACTTTGACTACGTAGAATAATAAAATTATGGTTTTCCGAAATAAATTTTCATCCTCTTTTGTTCTTGTTTCAAGTTTCAGTTTTGTGACAGAAGGGATTTCGAGAACGCTTAAGAGTGTTCACAAAATTCATCAAATTAGTTTCGCAGCTTCGGCTTTCATCATCAGCCTATTAATGTCTCCTTTAATTGATGATAAAATATATTGCCAATTATTTAAGAATCATCAATTTCGCATTTTCTTAAAAAAATCTGCCATTTCCCTGATTTACATTTCTCAAAAAGTGTTTTAAATAATTTGCTGTCATCGGCCTGATAGGAAATCTGTAAAGTTTTATTTCGTTTATTTGCAAAAATCTAAGAATTCATTTTCATACCGCCATGTCTCAAGTCTGATTATAAAAATAAAATCTATTATTTGAAACCTCCAGTGATTTGTGTTATTAAAAAATAGGGCCAAGTATTTCATAGTTCTTAGCAGTTTAGAATTAATCTTCTTTACTTCAATATACTTACACAAATATGTTTGTGTAGATTTATTGTTCATTCATTTTTGTAAAACGGAACATTTCCTTTTGGAACAGACATGAAGTCAGTTTTTATACTTTTAAATATTTCATTATTTCTAAAAAAAAATTATAAGAATAATGCACACGCAATAATTAATAAGTAAATATTTTAATGTTACAGGCTAGTGCGAAAGAATTATATATTAAGGGCAGTTGTTGTATTACGTTGCTTAGACACGTCTTTTAATGCTTTATTAAAAACGTGTTATCTATTCTTTAATCTCACCCCAATTAGCATTACCCTAAAGTAAGCACTGTAAGGCTTTTGTTATAGGATACTAGGGTAACGGATAGAATATATAATACTGATAGTATATTTATTGTTACGTACGCCCTTACCCTAGTCCCTCGGTAATGTGACGGCTCAGACTTTCTTGAAGTTTTGAAAGTTAGTAAAGATACTAAGTATATATATCAAATAGAAGTAGAAGATAAAATAAATAATAACTATTGATAAAATTATAAACACTGATATTTTAAACTTGACAGATGCACCATAAAAATAAAACTATATTCTTCTTATTTGTTTCATAGTTTTTTACGCACATCACTCATGAAATAAAACTATTTTTAACGGGTTAATGCACGAAATTTTATTTATTTATTGACGTTTTGCAGCCTTTCCCTGACGAAGCAGACCTGAAAAGGCTGCGAAACGTCAATGAATAAATAAAGTTTCGTGTATTAACCCGTTAAAACTAGTTTTATTTAATTTTATTTATTTATTGACGTTTCGCATCCTTTGCAGGCATGTGTCGTCGGAATAATCTTTTTTTTATTTACTTTGTCGAGCTACCTTCGGAAGATTTTAAGCGTTCGGATATTCTTCTTTATAAAATTCTAAATCACTAATTGATCGTCATCAATTGTCCAAGGAGTATTAATCCAACATTTATATAGAAATACAATATAAAAATTCATGAATTAGAGCCCTCTGTATCAGAAGGATTTTCAAGTAAAATTCCCTAGAAAATAAATGACATTTCGAGTGCAAAAGCTCGTATTTATTATGAGTAGGCGACATCTTGAATCCCGGCGTACATACCACTCGGCCACGGAGGTCGTCATTTTTTTTTATCGCAAAGATATTGGCACCATTAACCTTAATCAATCGTTAAAGTAATTCGACGTCTGTGAATACGTCCGTTAATTCTAATGGTGTTTTCACAGCGGAGGCAGCAGTTTGATTTGCTGTAAAAATTGCTGCGATGTAAAACACACGGAGCCTTACATCCACCAACCGACGAGCAAGAAGAGACGTAAAAATAAGTATTTAATAAAGTAAAACTCCCAATTATTTGGAAAATGTTGTTTCATTTACTTCGCAAACTAGTTTGAATCTGTTATATTTGAATTTTTAAAGCCTGTAACTGCTAGATTTAATCTTAAGAAAATTTTACTGGAAAAGAATCCGCGCGTTAGCAGACGGGACTCGAACCCGGATTTTTTCTAGAAAAAAATCTATAGATTTAAACAGTTACATGCTTAAAAAAATTAAAATATAACTTTAATTGCTATTTATTCTTTCAAATATTTAAAACTTAGAAAGGTGTTCATTTGAGGATTACTTACGATGCGAAGAGATGGCGCTGCCTTGCAGCTTAAAAAAGGCTAGAGAAAATTCGGCACGGCCATCAGGGCCACGGTAGCATAATGGTCAGTGCATTCACCCGGATAGCGAAAGGTGCAGGTTCGAGTCCTGCCCTGAGTCTGCTCCCGGGTTTGAGTGGATTTTTTCTAGTAAAAGTTTCTTTAGTTTGAATCTGGTTAAAAACCACGTTCCGTTCACTTTGAAAATAATTTTAACCTGGCATTACCTTATTCTAATAATATAATACCTACCTAATCTTAGGTTAAGAAAACATTTCAAATTACATTTAAGAAAACATTTCAAAGAATGAAATTCTCAAAATTTCAAAATCCATCCAAATTAAGCCAATATTTATATTGACTTTCTAATCCAGCTTAAATCCGATTTGTCTTGTCTAACACGAAACCATAAACTTGTAAAATTCATGGACGCTTCAAATTATTGAATAGTTAAAATACTAGTCCATGTTATATGAATTGGCATTTAAATAGAAATTATGAAGTATTGTTATATCACCAGCAGCATAATGAATTTAAAAATAACCCTATTTTTTAATAGGTTGTTAAATCTCTACAAATAAATGTCGTATTCCTTTGGTCCATTTTCTTAACCGTTTTTCCTAACCATCTAAGAATTAAAAATTTTTTATTAACTTATTAATAACTAGTTTTCTTAACCAGTTATGAAAACGGATAAAGTGTTCTTATATTCTAACTAGTTAGGTAAAAGGGAAAAAAGTCTTTTTTCTAACATGGTTAAGAAATTGAGCAAAGGGTAGTATTATGTTCATTGTACAATGCACATTCATCTACAAATTCCCATGCTGTTTAGATATTCAAGGAGTGAAATATCCTGGGGGAGAGACTTTAATACAGCGAGTTAGCATGACACTTTGACATGTCCACTGCAGTTAAATGTTTGGGATGTTTAATCCTCGTTATTTTCGCGACATGCAATTTTAGTTAATAATGTGTTTATCTAATTTTTTTTCTACAATGCGCAAATTTCGTTAAATCATTTTGTTAAATTAACTTGAACAAAAGATGAAACACACAGACTTCCAAACAAATTTTGTTTTGGGAAAATTCAACTTGACAATTAAAGTAGGTACCAGGCTTTTGGACAGTCACCAAGATTTCACGCAGCGTAAAATGATCACTAAAAGTTTGAGTAAAAGATACAGAAAAAGGAATGCTCTCTTTATTTTACACAATAGAGCTATGATCTCGGTTGCAAAGTTCAGTTGCAACAAAAAATCGATAGAAACAATTTAATTCCTAAAGAAAATATAACTAGAAAAAATTCCACGCGGACCAGACAGCAGACGGGACTCGAATCCGCACCCTTCGCTATTCGGGCGAATGCACTGGCCAATTATGCTACCGCGGCCCTGATGGCCTCGTCGAAATTCTTATAGCCATTCTGAAGCTGCAAAGCAGCGCCATTTCTTCGCATTGTAGGTAACCCACAATGTAGAATGATTACTTTTACAAGTATTAAACATTTGAAAGAAGAAATAGCAATTATAGTTATAGGCCGAGAGTGAAGGTTGCGGGTTCGATTCCCGTCTGCTGCCTGGTCCGCGTGAATTTTTTTCTAGTTATATTTTCTTTAGATTCTAACATCAAGCAGTTACATGCTTAAAAAATAAAAAAGAAAAACGGGTGCGTGTACTTATGTAGGCGCGTGAGAAGTTATCCTTCTTTGGCATCGTTTAAAATTAGTTTTTAATTGCATGCAAATAATTAATTACAATAAATTAATAAAAAGTCTGGAAAAGGACACAGTCAATAAAGTTCAGTTTTAATTTAAAAAAAATAAATAAATAATCAAAATATTCAATTAAAATCGCTACTGAATATAGTTTATTAGAACATATGTGATTTGCACTTGTATGAAACTCAAACACGTATTCCGAATATACAAACTAGAAACATGTGGATAAATATTATAAATATGAATACCTATAACTGTTACTTTATTACAAAAAATAAAGATGTGGTTTTTGGTTCTACTACACCAATGGTCAAGAGATGGCGCTGTAGTCTCCTGAATCGCGCTTTGGTTCCGTTTCCGTTGTTCCAGATTAATAAATACTTTTGATAGGCCTTCACAATGCAGTCGTTAGCACCCACTAAATAGAGATTCTATTTCTATTTTGTTGGTAGATTTTCTTAATGTGCGGTAAACACAAAAGTAACGCATGAAGTTGGTCGCTAAAGCGGTCGCTAAAGCGACCAACTTCATGCTGTAAAAATTTTGTGTTACAGTGATGCGCGCGCATCTTAAAATTTCACTCTCATCATTTTTTCATAACGCGCCTAAAGAAGTATAACTTCAATAATTTACTTCCTTTATGAAGCAGCAGAATGATATTCGTAGCAAGTATATCAAACTTTTTTAGTGATACGCAAAAGGAAATTAATCGTTTTTAACTTAGTTTTGCCTCGTCATAGATGAGGATATATGGATTCTTATTTTATGGTAATAAATGACTTTGTCCATATTTCGCAATTATATAATAAAACGCTGAAATCAATTACGTCCATCTGCCGTCGGTCTCCAGCGTGGATTTCATAATTAAAATAGGAGCATATTTAAATGAGAATCAACAATAGTAATTGATCATCAAAAAATACAATTGGTAACCTAACCTAACATTTAGATTTCCAATTATATTTTAGGTGATTCTTTATTATTTTTTAAGGAGCATCTAGATGTTTTCCATTCATATATTTCTGGATACAGTTTAGTACTAAATATCGTAAAAAAATAATAGGTTAATCCGCTTCAGCGACATGAAGTCACAAATATGTAAAGAATTAATATTCAAATTTTCATTTATAAATAAAGGATTTTAGAAAATTACATTTTAACATTTATGCAACTACATTACCCTGGTCCTAAAATAGATCCATAATTCCCAACACGAGTATGTAATTGTTGTAGGAAACAAAAACCGTTTCCCGTAACTACGAGCAATAAAGAAAAAAGTTTTCCTACATTATACCAACACTAGGGGAGAGAGGAATTTGGTAGCGTAGCGTTCGGGCTGCACCTTAACGTTTGCCTTTAATTATCATTTATTCATACGCTCGTTTTTAAAATATAACCTATTAGTGGGTGCCCGCGACTTTGTCTGCGTGGAAAATTGGTTCCCCATACAAAGGAGATTGCTCAAATTGGCTCAAATGTACAAAAAATATTGACATATACGGTAATTCTTGGCGTAATTTATACTTTATTTTACAGTCATTAGATTTTAACGGACACCTTTGACTAATACATTCATTTTAAAAAGGACTTTTAATTTTACCGGTTTAGAAAACATACGAATCATTTTTAATAGCCAAAGACTGATCGAAGTTGTTTATTTAACATTGAAACAAATCTATTTTGTAAAGATCGATAAAAAAAAATATTACACCGTGGTATTAATATCCACAACTATATTATCATTTTCACTTCTTACATGCAAATGTGCTAGGACAATTTATTATAGACAGAAAATTCTAGTAGGCGACATCATAAAGTCTATTGCCATACATTTTTCGCCAAACACCTCCATAACATACTCTAGGTGAACTTTTACTTATATACCTACGGATTTGTACGTAACCCCCGATGCGCGAGTCCAACTCGCACTAGGCCGGTATTTAACTATGTCTTTAGTTTGATATAGTATAAAGGTGCTGTATGAAAATCTTATTAATTGCCTCGTTGGACGAAATCCTCAACGGAGTTAGGTAATTTTGATGATTATGCACATGAAAACCACAATTAAACTACTGGCCAAATCTAGTCTTATAAATGCTGGCCATTGGGAATAACGGAGTAATGATCAAAATATTGTTTAACATTCAGGTGCTAAAATTACGTTGCAGGTACCTATTTACATTTAAAACTATCACTAAAATAGATCATGAATACATACAAAGTATCTTTTGTCAATTCTGTTTCTTTTAAATCTAAATTAGCATATTATGTTATACGAAAAGATATAGTTAGATAAGTTTTAGAAAATGTGTGATATTACGTCCATCTTTTTTTCAGGTCCCACTCAGTTTTCTCAGGTTCAGGTGGTTGCCACTAAAACGTTTCTCTGTACATTATGGCATTACACTAGTGTGTGACGTCACACGACTCTCATTCAAACATCAGACGGTACAATGTAATATCACTGTGCCGGGAGTTTACTAGTGTCTGACGTCATTTTAGTCTTGGCCAATCACAGGCGTTATTGGTCACGTGACCATGATGCCCAAAAGCAATTCTATTTGATGTTTTTATAGTTATTAATTATTTGTTCTTTCAGATTAGTAAAATCGCTGTAAATATTCATACTAAATATACAAATGCCAACCATTGGTACATTATTTTTCATATTGTCAAATAGCTTATTGAAGATTAATAAATTATGTCAGTTCTATGTTTAATGAAAAAGTGTAATGACGCCCCCCGTGGCTAGAGTGGTACTTAAGCCGGTTTTAAAGGAGAAACCTACTCAAAGGTTCGAATCCCGGTGGGGCAAATTTTTGTGTGATGTATACGAGCATTTGTACCTAAGTCATGGATGTGTATATGTACAGCAAAATAAAATTATACTTAATTAAATATATGTATCAGTATATACAATTCTATCTGTTACCCTAGTATTCCATAACATAAGCCTTACAGTGCTTACTTTGCGGCTA